TACAGAGGTCATCCTCCCATCCTGACCTTGGATGGGACAAAAACGCCTGTCCCGTTCTTAGAAGTCCTCCAAGGGCATGAATACCATGTCCTCCCTCCAAAAGTCCATTTCACCAGCAGAAGGTCTACCCTAATATTCAACCCAGCTCCTCCTTGCTGGTGTGCTCACCAGTCCACCCAGTCTACCTTCATGGCTGGACTGAGGTCAACATGTCTTGTGTTGCTCAACTGGGAGATGCTGCCCAAGACCTCAGTCACTGAGCAGCTGCCCAGTAGATTTAGCTGTTAAACTGGTCTATAACAGGAAAAGCAACAAGGAAGGGAGAAGCAGCCACCAGATCTCCAGCCACAAGATCTTCCTAAACCAGGCGTCCCTGGCAGGTGTGTTTGTGCCGGCGGATGATGCATATTTAGGAGCTGGTCCCTCCCATTGCTGCTTCATGCCAGAGCCCAGAGAGGCTGGTCACAGTCAATCCAGGTATTTGGTGTGTTTCTGGTACAAGGGCTGCCCACTGCATAGGTGGCCTTGAGTGGTCAGGCTCTTGCACGCTATGATTTATTAGCCATGGCCCCTTGGGGGCCCAACAGGGGCCCTCTGTTGGGCAGCTTGTCCAACAGCACCCTACAGCCTTGCTATGGGGTCAGCTCTTTCCATGCAGGATAAAAGGCATCTCTGAGCCTTACAACATCTTTTATCCAACTGCATCAGTTGAGACATGCTGGACACAGGATCAGGGTGTGTGCGGGCTCTGCTTATGCCAATTATTTGATGATGAGGTGGGTACTTACTCAAAAAACATGACACGCTTTGGTAAGTGAGCAACGCAATTAGCTCGCTCAGCCAAGGCAAGTCTGCTGCTGCAGACCAGCTCTGGGACATCCCTGCTGCCAGACCCTCCTCTGGAGAAGACTTCTCTTGGACTGGGAGTAAATGCTGTGGTGATAGTTGTACTCTCTCTGGCAAGGTGCTGGCTCCTGACCCTGCTGTGATCATGGTGGCTATGCTGGAAGTGGGGGCTGCCTCGCCTGGCAATCACTGCTGAAGATCTGCATGATGTCTTGCTAAGTAAGGGCTGGAGATGGACTGTGCAGTGACTATGCTGGATGGGACAGAGAGCAGCCCATGGGGGAAAGGGCTTTATGCGAATGCCTGGAGCCCTGGGTGCACCCCTTGCACCTGCCTTGGCACTGGGCAAATCAATTCTTTCTGCCCTGGGCTCTACTTTATTCAATTTGGCTGCAGCCCATCATCTAATTGCAGTAGGTCCAACCCTTTCCCAGCCACCTCTGTTGTCTGTCCTGGGAGCTCCCAGGAAAGGGGAATGGGATGAGAGGAGGAAAATAATGCAGGAAATGGGTGGGGAATGTAGCTGGGACACATTTGGGATCGGATGGGATGGGAGTGGACTGAGGTCTCCAGCCAAGGGGAGGCAACAGGACCCCGACAGCCCCCCCATGCATTCCTCCACCATCCCTTGGCCAGAGTTCAGCTCTGCCTTTGCCTCCCCCATCTTGGTAACTCCCCCATTAGCAGCATCGCAGCACACAGGGATGTACAAAACAGTGAACGCTTTTTATTTCGCTGCTGGAGTGAAACCACCGTAATTTCATAAAACTCAAAAAAAAAAGTGATTACTAAAAGGCATACATTTTTTTTTCCTTTTTACACAAGACGTAAGTAAACAGACAAGTTTCTTTTTAAAAAGGTTATAAAGTGTCAAGATCCTATACCTCATCTGCATATTCAAAGTGATGCCGTCTGATACAAAAAGCGTTGCGTATAATAATTTAGCTATGGCTCAGACCAAAAAAAAAAAAAAAAGTCATCTGGGCTTACTCTACATACTACTACGATTGCCCACGGAGTTAAAAAGGAAAATATGCAGTTCTTTGTTGCACAGAAAGAAAACAGCAGGGAAGTCGAGACTTCATTGGGAGATCGTCATCTAAAGGGAAGCCGAGCACGGCGAAATGCCCCCCCTCCCCGGGAATGTCTGCCAGAGCCTGCGAGCGAGACTGCAGCCGGCCCGTGACCCCCCGCTGCGCAAAGAAACCGGCCACATTTTTCTCCCACCAGACAGTATCCCATCCAAATCCACCCGCCAAACTGCACCTACCCAGCCCGCTGGAAGCAAATAAGATATAAGACCCTGGAAACTGCATGGAAGTCACGAATCTCCCTGTGTGCTTTCCCACTGGGACTAATAAAAAACAAACAAACCCAATACAAAAAACCCAAACGACTCGTTCTATTGTAGATAGAGCAAGACTTTTTGCTTCCTCGGGAAATCTGTTACTCATAAACCTCCTCATCTGAAGCTCTCAGTCCAACCACCAGTCTCAGCCTTATTGCAAGACTCATAATATGAATTTACAAATGTGAAGTCTTTAAATGCACATCACCAGACCTTTCTTAAATAAAGAGCTGGCCATTTGCGATGGCCGCGTTGCCTTTCTTCCCACCACTGCCCCCACCACACGCTCCATCTGACTAGCCAACATGGAGAACAGAAGGGACACACGAGCCTCTTAACCGAAATGCAGATGTATGCCACAGGTGAGAGGACACAACTATGATCTCTTGCTCAGATTTATTCTCCCACGTGAGGTTCAGCCACGATTGATTCCTGGGCAAAGCCTAAAAGCTCTTGGTTTGATGGTTAGGGCATCTCTGCCTTGCCATCCCTTGTGTCTCCAAAGCTCTTGCTACCAGTTTGGAGCCCTGTCCCTGGAAACTATGGAAAGATGGCGGGTTTCCATGGAGGGGGTGGGGGAAGTGGATAGGGATGAGGAGGTATAAAACCCAGTTTGTGCCTTTGTTTCTGCAGAAAAGGGCAGGATAAGGTAGTTGGTTCGTAGCCAAAACCATGGGGGTGTCTGTTCCCTATGACATCTGCCAAGACCCAATGGAGACAACTAGAACAATAATAGAATCGGCAAATACGTCAGATTTTTAAGGCTCTCCTTTCAACATCTTGGCATCTGAGGTGAAATGAGGATTAGCGTACAAGGAGAGACCCCAAAACCAGCCCAAACCGTGAGTCCTTAGCTACTTAGGCCTCACTCTGGTGCTATGTGTCTACTGAGCTCCAACTTTCCCTCTTCCCCAACTATCCCAAGATTTTTGTGAGGGAACTGGGCTATTCTTTGAGGTTTCTAACCCAAAAACCCGGTTGGAAGACCCCTCAATTTCTCCAGCCTGTTATGTTTCTGTAACCTTCTCTAGGCTGAAACATCGAGGAGCTGGTACCTCAGAGGTAGGAGCCCAAGTCCATATCAAAAACATCCCAAATATTTGGCAGTCCAACCCAGAGAAACCTTGGAGTGGGTTCAAGCCCTCCATGCAAGGACCGCAGCTCTTGGGCTGCCAAGATGCCCTGTCCATGGAGCAGCACATGGGAGGTGACAGCAAGTTCCAGGACAGGGGGGAGAAATTAAAAAAGAAAAAAGAAAAAAATTAGGACAATTAAAGCAGCTTGGTTTTGGTTTTTTTTTGCAGTGACACAAAACACTCTGCCAGCCAGAAGCCCTCAGGATTTGGGCACATGGATTGTACCAGGTCAAGGACTGCTCTTACACTAGAAGCTCTCTATTTTTAAGGTGGTTGGGTTGATGCTACATAAAGCGAAGGAGCACTGCAAAGCCTGTCTCCCCCACTGTGTTCCCCCCAAACAAGCCCATCAAGCTGAGATTTTAGAGTAGTCTCATCAGAGCTCAGCATCAAGCACTTCCAGGATCAAACCCTGCATGGAGGAGGTGAAGAGTTCCTGTGGCCAAAGGAGGCTGAATTCAAGCCCCTCTGTCCCCATCCTGACCCCAACTCAAAAGCATCGTGGCTGAAGCCCTGGACCGCTTGCCCTGGGCAATCTGCCATGTGATGGTCCCACGAGCGTGGCTGAGGAAAACATTTCTCCTCCTCTTGCCAGGGCAGAAACATCTCCAAGCCTGCAAAGCAACGGTTCCCACCACTTTATTCTAAACTCTTTGCAAGTCATGGCACAGCCTGTTGTGACCGGGGAGCACATGAGACCACGAGGTCTCCTGGCTAAGAGGGATTGGGACTGTCCTGGTCACAATGCCGAGCCACCTCCTACTGCCCCTGGGGATGAAGCAGCACCTATTTTAGCAGCAGGAGGACACAACAGGGCAGGAAGAGGATGGTGACCCACCCAGAGGGACTGCTGCAATACAGGATCAGGCCTTTTTATCAGCCCAATTTCTCACCCTTCCCAACCAACGCAGACCCTTCAAACCACCACCTTCCCCACGAGACATAGGAACCACCAGCCTGGAACACGGCAGGAGAAACTCAAGGGACCGAGGGCTGTCCCACAATGTGGGGACTTGGACTGGCCTGAGGTGTGTGGTATGACAGCTCCGGGGCCATGAGTTGAGGGTCTCCACCTCGCTCGGCACCACGGCTCGACCCATGGGATGGCCATCCCTGCTGTGCAGTGGGGCTGGCTCCCACTGGGAGAGGAGGAGTGGTGCTGGAAACGGCTCTGAGGTCCTCCTCTGCCCACGTGCGGTGGCACGAAGCCGTCCCCTGCCCTTCTGCAGGTACCAAAAGTGTCTAACCAGCCTTCCTCACCGCTTATCCCAAGAGATGAACCCTCTGAAGCAAATGACTCTGAATACTATGTTTCGGGAAGGCACACAAACCTTTGGAGATACCCAACACAGGGCACTGAAGGCATCTCAAGTTGGGCAGCCTAAAACCAAAAGATGCTGGATGACTAGCCCTCCTTGCCCCAACATCTGCAATCCTCTGCAGCTGCGGGAGTGAGCAGCAGCGAGCCCAAAGGATACCCAGGGCATCCCTTGGGCCACATGTATGCCCTGGTGACAGCAGCTGGCAGCTGGCTGTGACCTGGTGTCTGGGATCAGTCTGAGGGGCCATGGATCACCTCCCGGGCTCCACCAGGCAGTGATGGGAGAAACAAAGGCCAGAGGATGTGCGGAAGACAAACAGTTTTTTTTTTTAAGTTTTTTTTCCTTTAATTAGCAAATTTCTTCTTATCCTCATCAAAAGAAAAAACACCCCCACGCCCCCTACATGCCCACCGCTCCCGCTGCTGCAAGCGTTCAAAGGCAGAAAGTTGAGAGATGTTTAATGTCCCGGCTCAGGGGCAGCTCTGAGTCCACTCCACCGGGGCACATGCTGGGGGGTTTTAGGGTGCCAGGCGTCGCGTTACAGATGCCACCGGGTGTGGGAAAGGCAGGTGCAAAATTTGGTGACGTGCTGCCAGGAGCACCCGAAATCCCCCAGGAAAGCTGCAGCCCAGCCCCTCGGACAGCAAACGCAGCGGTGGAGGACACGGATGTGCCCCGAGATATGCGTTGCGTCCCCAGGACATCACAGCCAGAATTGGGGTTTGTGCCGTGGCTTGGTGATGGGGACACGACAAGAGAGAACCCACCACCCTGTGCATTGAATTTGGAAGCCATAAATAAGACCACCCCACACTTTGGGGGACGCAGTGCTGACCCTGCACCCCGGCAAAGCTGGGTGCCTCAAAGGCCCGCCACTGTCCCCGAGTTTCCCAGCACCTCTGCCTTCGTTGCAGCAAGCCCCCAACGAGCCCCATCTGCAGCGTCTCGGCTGGCATCAAGGCAACGGGGAGATGGTGAAGTGGTAGAGCAGCCAGGAGAAAGGGAATGGTGCTGGGGAGACTTAGCTCAGACCTTCCTGTGGCCACAAGGCCAGCACCAAGCTACGAGCCCCCACTGCCTCTCCCTGCTATCACCATCTTCCCCCGAGGCCATTGCGCCATCCCCACCTTCGTCCCTGCTGCTGCAGCCCTTATTTATAGGGAAGAGGTGGGAAAGGGTTTTTCTGGGGGTGCTCTGGCCCTCCTGCTCCCCATCCCTTCTCAGCTGGCACAGCCCTGCCTGCATCACCCCAAACCAAGCACCCTCCGCCCATCCCTCTCAGTGCAACGGGAGGGGAAAGGGAGGAGGAGGAAGGCGATGAAGAACCGTCACGTGAGCTCATTGCCTGCTAACGCCAAGAGTCAAAGGGCAGCGCTGCCTTGCCTCCTCAGGGCTGTAGCTGGAGAGAGCAGCCTTTTTTGGGGGTCCGGCAAGATGTCTGTGCTGTGGGTGCTGGAACACGTTGGTGGTGCTCCATGTCCCCCCGCCCCAGCCCTGTCAGTGAGGCGGTGTGTGGGGTGCACAGGGCTGGGTGAGGAGGTGAGGGGGTGGGATGTGTGTGAGTGCCCGGGTGCCTGTGTGCACGGATTTTGGCAAGAGGTCATTGAGGTTACATGATGCAGCATTTGTTCTTGTGGTTATGAGGATCCTTAAATCGGAGTCTCTGCTTTGGTCGGTATTTTTCCAAGTACGTCAGCTGCTTGCTGTTGATGGCTCCTCTGCGCTTCCTGTGGGGACAGAGAAGGGCCGCACAGTCAGCGGTGTGCCAGGAGAAGACCCCCCACCCCGAGCCACCCTTGTCGGGGTGCTGAACTCCCCTGCCTGGAGCAGGAAGGGATTTTTGAGGCTGCAGCCTCATGCGTCCTCTAGGGATGGAGACAGGCACCGACCCCAGCAGCTTTTCTTGCTCATCCACCCTGTGAGTCTTAGGACACGGAGAGCCAGGGAAGAAACACATGGGGAGGCTGCCCAAAGTGGGGCGCCTGCCAAAAGCCCCCTAAGGATGCTCCCGGATGCCTCCCCAACCTCCCACAGCCCTGATGCAAAGGCACAGGGTGCTTGGTGCTGGCCCCCCCTTTTCTTCCATGCCAAAAGGAGAGAAAAGCAACCCTGGTGCCCCAAAAAACCCCTGAGGCACGCCAGATCTCTCCATGCCCTCAGAGAGGGGCTGCTTTCTCCCCCGACACCGAAACGCTGCTCGACTTACTGTCGGATGAACTGGATGGCATCTTCGTACTTCATCCCGCTCTCAATCAAGGCCAGCGCGACGAGGACGGGAGCGCTGAAAGGCAACAGCAGTGGCAGTCACTCCCCAGCCACGTGGCCCAGAAGCTGACCTCCCATCCTGGGGCGGGGGGACACGCCGTAGGGCTGTAAAGGTGGCATTATGGGCAATCGCCAGCGCTGGCTTTTAGTTTGTAATTTCTTGCCACGTGGCTGCAAATGCTGCCCCAAGGAACGGCTGATTTTAGGGGTAAAACCCCCAGGATGGGGCTGGCAGCTGTTTGCTGCTCTTCTAATGAGCACGAGGACTTTGGAGGCAAATCTATTGGAAAAGTAGACATATATACACATGCAAAACCTGACCTGAGGCAGGGGGAGCAGCAAAACACAGTGGCTCTTGAAATGCAGTAGCTCCCAGTGGTAGTGGGAAGCATTTTGCAGTATTTCCACAATGAGCTCTTAGCAAAAGCAAAATCGCTATGGGGCACTGGCCGGACAGCACCAAGCAACCCAGGTCCCCCCTGGTGCCCAGGATTTGGCCATGAGAAGTGCAAGGAGGAGCTCAGGCAGCAGCCCCCCTGTCAATGCCTATTCCCGCTAAGGTCTCCACTGCATGCAAAAACCCTGCTCTAAGGTGCAAGGAGGAGAGCAAGCATGGTTTTCCCTCTTCCCCCTTCATGGGTGGGATGGCAGCTGGGGTGCCGGGCTCTGACTTACCGCCCCAGGCCGGCCACACAGTGCACGGCCACGCAGCAGCCAGGGTCTTCGCAGAACTTGGTCTTCAGCAAGTTGAGCCAATCTTCCACTATCTTGCTGGGAGGAGGCGCTCCATCATCGAACGGCCAATCCTGCAAGGTGGGGGCAAGGTCAGGGGAAGAGAGAAACACTGTCAGACCCTGGGGAAAAACTCAGGGGATTGCTTTTTACTAAGGGTGATAGTGTTTTGGACCTCAGCAGAGGGGAGGCGGATGCGTGTGCTGGCAACCGGGCTCGCAGCGCAGCTCCATGGGGATGTAGCAGCCGTATGAGTCTAGGTCTGGGGTCCTCCCATCTCCTATGGACAGGTTCAGCCTCCAGGAGCACCCACAGGACCTGCAACATGGTCCCCATGTCCTCCTGCCTCCATGGACCATGGTGGCCATCGCCTGCCTCCCTGTTCGGACAACTGCGCTGAGCTCTGAGGAGCCGCAACCCCCATCCTTCCCCCTGCCAGCTCCCATCTAAATCCAGCACTTGGGAGCGCAAAGCCACTTTGTAGGAAGTTTGAGCAAAGGCAGCTTGGAGGTGGCTGAAATCTCAGGGCCCGACGCGGTGTCAAAATTCAGCTTGCTGCAACACATGGGAGTGAAAGTGAGCACACAGCCCCGAAAGGATGCTCTGGGGACCCCCTAACGCAGCCCTACAGAGAGCCGAAGGGAAGGAGGGAGACCCCTCCAAATGGGGCCATTTAAATAGCATCCTTCAGGAAAGGCTCTTAAGGGACAAAAAAAAAGTGCCCATCTTCTTCCGAGCTTCATCCTCAAGCTGCATGGACTCAGCGTTGGAGCTCGGTGACGAAGTGGGTAAAATGGGTGCTGCATTAAGCACCCCCCGGGCCCTGGGCTCTGCTATGGGGGAAAACGGTCACCACCCTTGCCTGTGACTGCTGCAGCATTTTGGGGAAGGGACAGTCTCTCCTCATGAGCAGTGGTAGCCAGACGAGGCTGTATGTCTCTCCCAAAATGGGGAATTCTCTCCCAAAATGGATTTGGCAGGAGGAACGTGGCCACTGGCTACGCAGCAGTGGGAGAGGGGGATGGGCAGGGGAGCATTGCTTGGGAGGGGATGTGGCACGGTGATCCCCGGTGAGTGGAAAGCATGGGGCTGTAATCCTCATGTTTGAGGAGTGAGTCACTAAGCTGCTGTGCTGGAGTCATCCTTGGTGTAAACTGGCAAAAGAAGCTGCTGAGCTTCACTTCAGTCTTTGAACCCGTAATGATTTCAGTGTGGCTTTGCTAGGAAAGGAGTCAGGGTACCCTAATGCTTGAGCCAGCCCACCCTGCACAGCCCGTGCCCATCCTACAAGATCATCTCCTCCCTGCAGCGCCTGGAAAGCCCTGCTTCAGCCATGAGCGCAGGTCACCGGGCTCGCACTGGGGATGACACACTATCACAAAACCATCGAATTACAGAATGGTTTGGGTTGGAAGGGACTTTCAAAGATCATCTAGTTTCAACCTCCTTGCCATGGGCAGGGACATCTTTCACTAGATCAGGTTGCTCAAAGCCCTGTCCAACCTGACCTTGAACACTTCCAGGGATGGGGCATCCTCAGCTTCTCTGGACAATCTGGTCCAATGTCTCATCACCCTTATTGTAAAAAAATTCTTCCTTATGTCCAGTCTAAACCTACCCTCTTTCAGTTGAAAAGTGTTGCCCCTTGTCCTGTCACTACAGGCCTAGGTAAAAAGTCTTTCTCCATCTTTCTTATAAGCCACCTTTATATATATTGAAAGGCCATAATAAGGTCTCCACGAAGCCTTCTCTTCTCCAGGCTGAACAACCCCAACAACAACCAACAACGCCTCTCTCAGCCTGTCTTCACAGCAGAGGTGTTCCAGCCCTCTGATCATTTCCGTGGTTCTCCTCTGGACCCTCTCTAACTGGTCCATGACTTTCTCGTGCTTGGGTCCCCTGAGCTGGACGCAGTACTCCAGGTGGGGTCTCCCCAGAGCAGAGCAGAGGGGCAGATTCCCCTCCCTCGACCTGCTGGCCACGCTTCTTTGGATGCAGCCCAGGATACGCTTGGCCTTCTGGGCTGCAAGGGCACATTGCTGGCTCACATCCCATTTTTCATCCACCAGTACCCCCAAGTCCTTCTCTGAAAGGGCTGCTCTCAATCCCTTCATCCCCCAGCCTGTACTCATACCGGGGATTGCCCTGACCCAGGTGCAGGACCTTGCACTTGGCCTTGCTGAACTTCATGAGGTTCTCATGGGCCCATTCCTCAAGCCTGTCAAGGTCCCTCTGGATGGCATCCCTTCCCTCAAGTGTATCAGCTGCGCCACTCAGCTTGGTGTCATCTGCAAACTTGTTCAGGGTGCACGCAATCCCACCGTCTACGTCAGTCATAAAGATATTAAACACTATTGATATACCCAATACAGTATATGCATCCTGCACCATAAACCTTCCTACAGTGAGACCTGCACAGCACCGGTTTCCTGGCAGGATTTCTGCCCCATCTCCAACCTGCTGGCAGAGCTGCCGAAGCACTGAGTGATGCCCAGGTGGTGTGGCCGGGAGGAGGATCGGCAATGGAGGAGCCACCAGTGAACGTGGCCTCCAAGCAGACATCCACGGCACGGGACACCTGTGTCTGGCACGACTCAGCAACCACCATCAGCTTTAGAGATTGCCCAGGATCCCCTGCGGCATGCGAGGAGCCGAAAGCAGAGGAGGCGTCCAAAACCCCCCAGGGAGCGCAGCCAGGACAGGACCACCATGGGCATCGTAGCTGCAGATGCCAGCACCCAGGCACACCACACCGGAGTCAGGCCTTGACCAGCTTGTGCCTATTCCCCAAAGAAAGGTATAGGATACATAGGTATAGCCTATATATATAGATGTTCAGACTAGATATAAGGAAGACATTTTTTACACTGAGGGTGGTGAAACACTGGCCCAGGTTGCCCAGAGAGGTGGTGGATGCCCCATCCCTGGAAACATTCCAGGTCAGGTTGGACGGGGCTCTGAGCAACCTGATCTAGTTGAAGATGTCCCTGCCCACGGCAGGGGGGTTGGACTAGATGACCTTTAGAGGTCCCTTCCAACCCAAACTATTCTATGATTCTATTTTATATATTTGCTATAGGTATATAGAGACATATATAGATATGTCTGTATCTGCATAGATATATCTATCCATAGATATCTATCCATAGATATCCATAGATACACAGGATATAGATATTGGTCAAACCTCCTTATACAGTTTCTATATACTTATAGAAGCCTGTATCTGTACTATATAGTTTCTACATAGTATCTTGAATAGTTTCTATATCTAGGATATAGATATCTCCCTATATAAAACATATCCTAGATATAGATACCTCTCTATATAAGTTATGTAGCGAGATATGTGTATCTTAGATATAGAAACTCAGATGGAAGGACTCCAGCCAGAAACAGGGTAAAAGGCTGAATTTGGTCTATAAGAGAGCAGAGATGACCTCCCACATACAGATGCTATATGTAGGATACAGCTATCTCTCTCTGTAAGATAGATCCTATAGAGACATAGCATCTGTACCTAGAGAGATCTGCATCTGGAAGATCTTTATCTACAAGACACATAGGATCTATTATCCACTTGTATCCCAGAGGATCTAGGATGTAGCTAGCTATCTCTATAGGATATACATTTTACAGAGAGAGCTATATAGGGAGGACCTACACACAGAGGACCACCCCAGGAGACAAGAGGCACTTCCAAACCCTTTCCTAAATAACGAGCAGAGCCTCACCTTCCAGCTGGAGCTGAACTCCCTGGCAGGGCAATCACGCCTGACATCATCTCCCATTACATATCAGCCCAGATGCAGCCCAGGCAGCTGCCTGCTCTGCCTCCTTGCTTTTTCCTGCTTGCTGCCTGCTCCCTTTCATCCCCCAGAGTTCCACCAGCCGGCTGCTGGAAGAGCAAAAAACCTGCACTCCCCCCGGATAAGGTAACACCAGGGGTAACGGGAACCATGTGCATCTTCCACGTGGGATCAGGCGCTCTCATCCCCTGGATGCTTTAGGAGCGACAGGCAGGGAAGGCAGCTGCCGACTCAACCGTATGAGTCACAGTTTCGGGTGCGTGGGCAGTGATTTCTTTTTTTAAAGCACCAGCCCCATCTCAGCCCGGGGAGCGGGGAGCTCACCCACCTCGCCCCGAGGATGAAGTTGGGCTTCAAACTCTGCTCCCGGGCAAGCACGATGCCGATTTGTTCTATCCGAAATGTGGGGTGTTTAGCAGACCCCAGGGATGGGGATATTTAAGTGGGGGGGGTGGTGGTGGGGGCAGCCCCCCCAGGCGCCCATCCTGCCGCCCACCTACCATGACGGTGATGCCATCCTTCTCCAGGGGGGTCTTGTCATAGGTCACTTCACACACTCGCACCACCGTGGTGGCACCGTACTTCTTCAGGTCCTGGGGAGGGAAGGAGAAGGAGGGGTCTGAAAAAAACCCTTCCAGTCACACCCCAGTTAACCCCAACACATCCGAGCTCTGCTATGACCACATGGACCCCTACAGACCCTAAAACCGTGCCGTGCCCCATCTCTGGACCCTTGAGCAAACCCCTCTGTGGTCCATCCAGCCTGGGAAGCACAAGGAATCATTAAATCCCAGGGCACCAAAGCTGCGTGGTCATGGTAGGATTTTTACCCAGCACCTTCACAACTCCTTGGAGTCATGAGCACCAACGGGGCCGTTTATTTTTAAGCCCTGACGGCCGCACCAGCAGGGACTTTACACCCCAGGCAAAGAAACGTCTCCAACACGGGTGCAAATTCCCCAAAGGAGAAATTATTTGTGCACGGTGAGGTCGCAACTCCTGCTGCAGAAACGCGCGGAGGACGCTGGGGGGCTCATAGTGTACCCCGCCGACTGCACTCAGCATCTTGCAGATTGCTCAGGGGCTCCTTCTTGACCTCGTTGCTGTATCCCATCATCACTCTAACGCACTGCAGGCTTGGGCGTGGGACTTGGGCTGTTTCCAGCATGACTTATTGCCCACCGCAAGGATGGCCCCCAGATTACATGCTGGTGTACTGGCCCCGCCAGGCGCCACGTGAGACCGTCCCCTTCAATGATCCATCTCCATCCTTCCCCGCGCGTGCTTGCAAGGCCACGGCAAACCCCTGTGCGCTTGGCAGCTTGGCCAAAAATTGAAGAGGCTAGAGGAAAGGGGAATTTTTCCCCCTTCCCACTGGTGCAATCCCCATCACCTTGCGCGTGGCATGCAGGGGCACGAAGCGGCTGTCCCCAGATCCCAACCCCCTTCCTGCGGCTCTCCGAGCTGGTGGTGCTCACACGTGCTTTTTTGGATGTGCAGATGGGGGAGTTTCCTTTAACTTGGAAGATGCATCTGGTACTGGCCTGTCAAACCTCAACATGGTTTAGGTCTGAGGCAAAAATCCCTTGCCAGGCTTGTGCACAGCCCCAGGTCCCTCTGCAAACGCAGCAACATCCTGAAACGCCTCCTTGTAAGCAGAAGCCACTTGTGCCGGCTCGACCGAACCTGCAGGATGTTGCCTTTCCCCCAGGCACCGATAAAAAGAGTAAGTCGAAGCCTTTCGCCCCGGACAACAGACACACGCGTACATTAATCCTCCCCTAACTCCTGGCTGCTGTCAGTGCTGGAGGCAGCGCTCCCAGGCAGGGCACCGTCACTGGCTCATGCAACACCGAGCCCTCCAACTCCTTGCGCAACGCCCAACGCACTCCGGGCATTGGAAAGACGCTGGGATATTTGGGATGAAAAGTCCTTATTGAGATGCTGGGAGATGCAGGGGAGGATCCATGTGCATCACTGCAAAGCCCCTTCCCGTGATGTGCTGGTGGAGCTGGCAGGGGATGCAACAGGAACGGGGAAACTCTACTCCACCTCCATCGTGCCCAAATACCACGCTTGGGGTCCTCCAAAATATCCTACCCCAAAAAGCCGGTGGTGATTGGACCCGCCGCCCTGGGATGCCACCGCGGGCTGTGGTACCAAAGGGGATGTGCCGCTGCCTCATCCTACACAGGATTGATCCCTGTTGCATCTCAACATTGGCTTTTAGCCCCAAAACGCGCAGCTGGGCCCTGGTCCCCCCCTTCCAGCCTCGCCTCCTTACCTCCAAGAAGGTGTTGAGCGTGGCATTGGTGGGGTTGTGGGTGATCAGGAACCTCATGTTTTTGTAGCAGACCTCCACCGGCGCAGGGCGGTTCATCCGGGCCATGGTGGGACGGGAGGAGAGTGAGGTGGTGCTGACGGCGGTGGGGGAAAAAACCCAAGAAAAGAGTGGTGTGGAGGGGAAAAAAAACCCCAACAACCCCTCTGCGCTTAAAAAATAAAAATAAACAGGATTGAGAACTCAATATACAGACGTTGTGCAAATAATCCCAGCTCCTGGGAGCGCGTCGGCTTTCTCGACACACCGCAAGCCCCCCGGGGGAAAAAGCCAGACGGGAAAAAATAATATTAATGATAATAATAATAATAATTAATAATAATAATTAAAAAACCCTTTGCTGTAGTGTTGTCGGCGTCCTCTGCGTGTGTGCGATGGCGAGCGGCTTCCGCTTCTGGTGCCGCGCGCTCCCTGGCGCTCTAGAAAGGCCTCTGCATATGGGGGGGGGCGGGGGCGG